TAAGGGAGTGACCTATGCAGTGTAATGACGGTTGTGACCGTTAGTAGTTAGCAGCCTCTCGCCGGCTGTTCGTTGCCGACCCATCACCCAGGTAGACACATTTCAGTGATAACCTTCGAGGTTTGGACTACGGTCGTGGCTAATCCATCACACAGGTAGACACATTTTAATGATAACCTTTAAGGTCTGGATTACGGTAACTCCTCGTTGCCAATCCATCACCCAGGTAGACACACTTAAGTGATAACCTTTGAGGTCTGGATTACGGTAACACGGGCAACTCTTCAGAAAGATTTTTTCACTGACCAGGACACAACTTTATTCATCAGGTGATAGAACTTATGCGGCAAAGCGGCACAGTGCAATCCAGACGGAGCACTGTCCTGGAAAATGTTCTCTGACAAATATCATTCAGACTTAAATTCCGTGGCTTCAATCGTTTCTAATCTTCGTGATCTTCTTTGAAACCTTTGGGACCATAACACCTTACTCTAATGGAGACCACGTCCAGAGAACGTTAAGACAGTAAAACCTTTCTAAGGAACGGCATCATATTATACTTTCAACGTTAAAACCGCGCTTTTTTCATTCATCGCCTCAAGCATTATTCTTCAGTTTCACTCTAGCTAATGCTTCCATACTCAACATATCACAGCAAGCACTCGTGTCACTAGATGAGGAAGCATCAGACGGTATGAAACATTTAATAATCAGGCGCTTTCGCCTATTTCAGGAAGTAGGACATATTTTCTTTGATGACTTGTGAAGATGGCGAACAGAAATTCATCTGTAAAGGTTGTGATAGACAGCCGCACTCTGTAAGTTTGGACATCTTTTTTTCCAATTTTGCCGCAATCGCGACGCCTTCAAAACTCTTTGAATAGGCGGTTCAAAGAGACCACACGCAGCGTATTCCCCGCTTACATTCTATTCTCGAAAACAAAAAAAAAACAATACGTCCTTATACTAGTCGCTCTCAGCAAAACTAGTATTCGCTTCACAGTATTTTGCTGATGTCGTATATCAGTCGAACCTCAGTGTGCATAGGCTGATATTCGT